GACAGAAGTGAAACGACTGTTAGTGCAGGTGTTAACTAGCAAACAAAACAACTAAGAATAATTAGCAAGCCTGCACAAAGCAAAGGACAGAGGAAGTAAACTCGGGTCAAGAGACCAGACAGACTTCTCTGTGCAGCAGTAAAAAGGAAGCTTAAGGTTTGCTACAATCAGCAGTCAAAAAAATGTCACCTTTCTTTAACCCTGCTTGAAAAGGGCCCTCGATATCATAAAAAATACCTGAGATTTTTCAAGATATATAATTGCAAACACGAGGGTTCCAATCATGTCCTTTAGCTGTGGAGGGAGTAAGCCCAGCGCCTCTGAAAGGCTGTTGAGCTGTTTGTTGACACACTGGAGACACTTGGAGCAGTCAGCAGCATTCTTGTCTCAGGACTCACTTTAAACACAGCAACACTGCCTTTGGCCCCAAAAACACACTCCCAGCTCCACTGCCACAAAGAAGGATCAGTTCAGCTGCCCAGGGAACACACCAGAGCTGGGAGAAGGCACTGAATACAGGGAGGCCCCTGGTATTTCCCATCACACCAACCACCAGACTCCTTCCTATGTTACATTCTTTTCACTGCTTTTTCTCCTCAGTACACTCAGGGGATTTTTCCTACAGATAACATCCATCTTTCTGGGGGAGAACCATCACAGGTACCCCTAGACAGTACATTCTGCAGTAACTGCCAAACTCTGGAGCTCCATCACCATATGCAAGTGTTTTGTGTCTACTGTAATACCACTGAGAGCTCTCAACTAACTGCACACAAGCCCTGGCTGATGCTGGTTTACCTTCCATCTGGCAACCACCAGTATCTTCTTTCATCAATTCCAGTGGAAAAAAAAGTACAAATCAGTAACTGTTTAAAATTTCTTACAAGAGGAAGCTTAAAAAAAACCCAATCTCAGTGGAAGACTGCCAACAAGATTTTTTTTCATGCTTTTTTCCTCCCCTCGCTGCACCATTTTTCATCAAACCATGAAAATTACAAGTAGTAGCCAAGGTTCCTATTCTGTGTTTCTTTTTTACTTAAGACTTTCTGAAAAGTTTTGAAAAGGAAATCTGTAATCAAGCTTAATTACCCTAACATGGACATCTCCAGCATGATTTTACTTCATACAGATTACAGCAGGGAATAAAAGAATGTAGTGAGTCTATCTGCAGAGTGGAAGGTTTCTTGGCAGGGACATATACAGTATGAGAGAGAATTGGTATAAAATGCAAAGCTATGCCAATTTAAAAAATCACACTCTAGCTAAACTGTACAGCCAAACACATACAACTTTGTGTGCAAGCATTCTTGAATAAAACCCTCCAGAAAAGGGTCCAACAAAATAGAACTTTCTTGTTTTAAACCTGTAAATAGACACGTAAAAATATTTGCAACAGTTTACTTAAATCAGTTTTTACACTGATTTTAAACTGACTGGCTGAATGTCTCTGTGTAAACAAATAGTTAAGATGAGGCACTGCAGTAAGGAAATTCAGTCGTATTTCAAACAGATTCTTACTGGAAAGTGATTGCAGAGGATTTTCTGTATGAATCCTTTTCTGTCTGGTAATTTCTATTTACACAAATCTGGGGAAGGGAGGAGATATTGGGTCAGTTTGGGAAAAGAGAGGCAGCACTAGAGCTTCCCATGCAACAAAGCACAGAAGCTCCATCACTGCTAGAAAGAAAGAAACAGGACCCACCAAGCTCTGCTGCAGGGGATGTCTGGACATGGTCACAACCCCTTTCTGTCCCTACACACAGCACAACACACTGTACAGCTCTAGTTACAGCTGCTAAGGTACTGATACTGACAGGGCCCATCTCCTTCCAGGCTGAAACCCTCAGAAAATACCCATTCATGTCTTGTTCACCACACAGAATTTTAAGACCTAAGCTACTCAAGCCACATTACATAAAAACACCCTCATGGGTCTGACACGATGCTGTCTTTGGCTTCTGAACATCCTGCACTTTGCCTTCTCCACGGGCAGAATTTAGCTGCCAGCACAGACAGGATGAAACCTTTGCTGAGCAGAGAAAGGTCCCCAGAACAGGCACTTGCTCATCACATATTTTATACTGAGTACTGGACCTGTGACCCACTCTCTGCACTGAGCAGAATAATCAGCTCCAGCACAAGCAGCACTAACTGCTCTGCTCTCCCCCAGCCTGTACTCCATGGCCTGGTTAGAAACAGAACAGACCTGACTCAGCAAGTGCTTCTGCCTTCTGTAAAACACATTTGAATCTGAGCAAAACTGAACCCAACTGGAAGTACATCTACATTAAAGCTTTTCAAATGATAAGTACCAGGAAAGGTAAATTCCTCTCTCCAACAGGGACAATTTTGCTTTTAAGGAAGGTTAGTATATAAAACCTACTCATTTATCTCGAGTTTTTCACTGCTGAGCTTACAACAGTCTCACCAGCACTGATGGAGCTGTAGGAGGCTGCAGCAGTACATTTTCATCGTCATCCAACACATTCAAAGTATGTGACATGGTACTTAACACAAGCAGCTACAAGTATTATTTGTGCACTAGTTTCTGAAGGTCACTTCTGCCAATTGAAGGCAGTGAGCACAGCCCCAGCTCTGTTTGGGGTCTCTCAAAGGATGTTCTGTGCTGCATTCCAGGGGCTGCAGGCTCGGGGGAACAGCAAAGGCCTCATTTTCTTTGCAGGGGGTTTCAGCAGCAGCAGGAAGAATATTTTCCCTTTCAAGACCACAGCAGAGATAGGGTATCAGTTCTGTTCTTCCCTCTTAGGACAGCGTGTGAGAAATCCTTTCATTGCCGGCTGAAAAGAATTAATTCTATCAATTTAAATGTTTTTCAAGAGTCCCTTTTATTGTGGCTCCTTTTCTACATATTAACTCTTCCTAAAGCAGGGCCTTACTCAATTTTAAAACCCTGTAACTGATTGCCTTCACAAAGCTGCACCTTACCCTGAGTATTCCCCTAAATGTAATTATTTTAAAAACACTAAGTGTGAAATTCTATCAGTGGCACAACACACACTGCAACACCTGAGCCTACAACTGAAATCTAATCTACCTGTGAAGCTCCATGACCAGTTCCTCCACCCTGTGCTTATGAAGCCTTTTCCACAGTCAGTGCATTGCAGGATCTTTTCTCACCAATTTGACACTAAGTGAAATATATTAAAAACTGCCAAAACGTAAGAAATAATTCTTTGCACAGTGACATGCTAGAGCTGCTACATGACAAGATGATGCTGCAAATTGAAGGGACAACATAATTCTGGAAACAGTTTCTTTCTCAATTACTCTTAGTGCCAAAAGACTAAGAAATTCGGAGTTCCTCAAGCAATACAAGAATTTACAAGTATAGTCCCTCCCCTGGTGACACAAGGTCATTTTCTTAGGTGACAGAAGTTAAGGGAAGAGCTATTTGGAACTGAAACATCTACCTCCTTCAAATCCCTCTTCCCCAGATGTGCCAGGTGGAGGGAGAGCCTTCTCACACCAGAGAGCTGTGAGCTGGGGGTACCTCTGTGCCTCCAGGAGTTCAAGTCTTTTGACTCAGACACCCTTGGAGAAACAATGCTCTCTCCAAAGCCTAAGCACCAGCTTTGTATTACAGACCGAGCTCAGCTGCTCTCACAAAGAGTAGATATTGTCAAGCACCAGCTAGGGTAAGTGTCAAGTCAACTGAACTTCCACGGCTCATTCATGATTTGATTGCAAAACC